ACGTGAGCTGGCCTCGGCAGTGCGTGGACGACCCACGCGGAGGCTCCATTCGCCATCGTGCGTCTGCATGCGACTCGCAGAAACGGGACGTCGAGGTGGGGCAGCGTAGGGCGCAGCGGCGGCGACGACGTTTTCGCGATCACTGCTCAAACTGCTACTAGCACAGCCACCAGCAGCGCCGTCATTAGCGTCGCCGCCGTCGCCACATTCGGCGCTACTAAGGCTGCTGCTACTGCTGTAAACCGTGTCAACATGAGTTGGAAACATCCATTCCTGGGTAGTCAGCTCGACTTGCTGCGGCTGCTCAGCCCTGTTAGGTTCGGATGCATTCTCTGAAATGCAAAAATATGACTTTTCCGAGAGGTTGGGAGATATGGACGGCTCCAATGGTCTAGAAAAACGGGACTTTTCCAAAATATGTACGTCAGTCCACAGGAGTATGAAAAGATACAATGCGACGAAACCGACGCATATATTATACCACCATAATCTGCTGGGTTTGACACTACATTAGGGAGCCGATAGACAGGCGCTTATTCTACCAAGGACATCATAGGATATCAGAAAAAAATAACGTTTAGAAATCAGTAATGGATTAAGTTCACAAGAGTCCCCGCAATTTGGTTTACACCTTAAGGTTCTGCCTGACCGGCAACGAATAAGTCGGCTCAAGGCAGGCATCAACATAACCAGTTAAGATGTGGGGATGTTACTCAATCTATAATATTCAGTTCTCGCCGATGAAGAGTAAATGATTTATTGCCAAAACTTCATAAGAAACTATTTTTGTCGGTTTTCTAAGAAATAATCTGCCGGGTAGCCAAGACAACCGTCTCAGACGACTTTCCACAACCAACATTTCTAAAAAAGCAGCAGCCATAAAGTATATAACAATGGACCGAAAATTTTCCATGAGACGACAGATATACTTGTCAGAATAGGTGTGAGGGAACCACGTCAAGTGGAACATATAAAAGACGAGATTGGATGAAATATCTAGGTTCTGGTCAGTATGCCTCATTAATGGAAAAAGCATTAAAAAGTATGACGTCGCGTTGCTTATGTGAGGCGATGGAAGTGAAAATTGTTTCCCGCTCATTCGTGTGAACGTCTCGGAAGGTGTTGATAACGCAAACGAAATAAATATCAATGACTGATGAGCCTAACCTAGTTAGCTGTGAAAAACTGTTTGAGTATGAGGACAGACTACTCGGTGCGGCTACCATTGTGGTAGCGTAGTACGGTTTATAGTGGGAAAGATTGGTGCATGACTAGTGCCGGAGCCTAGGGGTGCTTAGTTGGGATAGCAAGTAAATGAGTGTTCATTTCAAATCTGTTTTTGACGCCAAGAGCAGGAATAATCCTCAGCTTTGCGAAATTGATTAATAAAATCACTCGGCTTGGAAATGGCTCGAAAGGCATTTATTTGGTCCTTGTACACGAATAATCAACGCCAACAAAACACAAACTCGGAGGAAGGAGTCGCCACGAGTAGTAATACAAATACTGCATGTAAATTATGGTTTAGCTTATTTGGAATGCTGCTGTAGGGTATCTGACAGGTATTTACTTACTTGAACGATGGCCATTTGATTGAGGCATCCTGGACTTCGTCAGACTATGCGACTTTATTCGGGGGAAGAAAGACCTAATGAAGATAAGGGAAGTTTTATGACCTGCGACTAAATGCAAAAGACATGCATAAAATGCACCAATGGCGGCAAAAATTCACCACCGACTGTGGTCTAAGCACACTCAGGGAGCAGAATGCGCCAGGTGAAACGAACAGAGGATGACATCAAGACATGCTCTAGCGACATGACATGCGAAATTTTGGTAGAAAAAAAGCCGACAACGAGGAAAATTATGACTTCCACTAATAATAATTTAGACAGCGTTATGAGACGATTAAGTATATCAAGTCCGCAGTTTCTCACAATGGTTTCTGATTAAAAAACGAGGGGTGCGAGCCTTCGTGGATGCATTCGATGAGCCGATCAAATCGAAAAAAGTAATTTTGCCGTTTAGACACCTTTATTGAATGGAGGCAAGCAATTTGGCGAAGCGCAATACCAAAAGGGACTAGCAGACAGAATTTACAAATGCATTCTCAGAAGGACGAGGGCAGGCGGAAGCGACTACATGCGCATGCACTACCTTTCCCTAATGTTCCTGCGACGACCCTTTAGTAGCCCCTTTTCTTGGGAAGCCACTGGTTTTTCGGACAAAAGCAGTTGATCCTCCGCTGAGTTATGCATAGGCGAGTCAGTCCATAAGCTGGAGACGCCATGTCCAGGGGAAAATTGTTTACATATTGTCCCTTCGTCTCGGCAACCCCCTTGTCCTACTACAGGCAGAAGATCTGGAAGTGTGATGGGTCCAGTGAGGGATCGCTTAATGTCTTCAATATCAGAAGTGATGGCACGAACAACCGATGGGCTAAGAAGACTACACTGTTCCCTAAGCTCAGTAGCAAGCTCCTCGTTGAACCTGAGATCGTCACAAGACTCAGTAAAACTTGGAGAGTGAGCGCCTGATTTGTGCGTCGGATGAGCAGGACTGGTGAAGGCTACTGGTGAAAGCGACCCCAATTCAGAATTTGACGACAAAGGACTGCCTTGTCCAGTGAACTTTTTATTTAGTTCTCTGATCATGTTGTTTGACGCTTGTGTTAGGATTGGCGAGGCTGGGTTGCCGGAGCTGCTCGGTCGAAACAAAGGAAGTACCTCACAGAGGCCAGAGTGATGGTTGTTCAAGTTAGCTGAAGGTAAATTCTGGTCCGTTGACAAACAAACAGCTTCGTATGGGTTCAAACGTTGTTCACGAAGATCGACCAAATTTTCATTTTCATCGTCGGAGGTTAGCGGGACTTCAACAAGCTCTGAATTTTTACGGTCAAGTTCCGAGCCACAATTATTCGGGCTGACGACATGATGCGGAGAGTAGGTGGTTAGTTTATGAGGATGAGGCCCACTGACAGGTGAGTGCGAAGGGGTTAGACTTGCAGAATATTCATCACCACTGGCCCAATCTCCAAAATTACTCATTTCAGGCAGCGCCGATAAAGAGATACAGAGTGGGCAAGAAAGACTTAGGATTTCCCGTGGTGCCTATAAATTTTCAGCCCTTTGGGCGATGACCTAGTGAAAAAAGAACTCATTTTATATGCGTGTTTGTGTAGACAGAAAATACCCTACAGTGGACAGGATTGAAGGACATTAGAAGTGTATATTTGGGTAACTTTATAAATTTCACGTCCGCCAGCAGCGCTTCGAAAGCCATTTATGTCTAGGTCTTTTATTTCGCATGCACTAAGGCGCATCTTATTATAAGAATGAGGTTGTTGATAAGATAATAGGCATAAAACAGGAGTGGATGATACAGTAATTGTGTATCTATGTAGGAAAGAAGATGTGCATACGACAAAAAGTCCACAAATTGGTGCATATATTTTGCTTGAAAAATCGGTTGGTCAAAGGACGGTGATGAGAATTTGAAAGCATGTGGAATCTTGACACATTCGTGAGCTGAGCTCATCAAAACCGGTTATTACACACGCGAAGATTACAGATTTGATAGACCTCAGTAATGACGGAATCATCAATTATGTTCATGAGATTTATCAACGCCGTCATCTGCCACACGAAAGACAAGATTAAAAACGCGAGAGGATCTAAGATTGAAGAAATTGGATTTCCGAAGTTATCATACGCTTTTAGGAGAGCAAGGCCTGACAAACACAAAAATACGCGAACGCATTAAGTATCTTCTGATCGTTCATGTAAGGAGGGATAGAAAAATATATTTTACAAAGTGCTGTTTATTTCAATATTAAAGACTCAAACTAGAAGTGGCCCACAACTTTATTAGTGCACTTGATGCATGCGGGGCGTGCGCCTGTGGATAAGGGGAACAAAAAATCGTTAAAACGGTGATGGGCTTGAACTATTACGGAAAGAATTGTGAAAGAACACGCACAGAGAACGCACAACAAAAAGCCACACGAACCTCGTGGTCATAAATTCCGCGTCATTGGAGGCTGATTAAAAGCTTGTAAACCTAAGAAGCTAACTGAATAGAGATTTTTGAATAGTATGACTTCCGTAATCAACCGATGGACTCCAAAGCTGCTTAGTCCAACCCAGACTTTTTATCCTTAAATGGAAAAACATAACTACTAGAACTTTACAGAAGCGCCGTTCATCGGTCATCACTTAATTGATCTCATAATTCCAGTAAAAGGTAAACGTTCCGCCCGCCGCGAGAATTTATAAGAGTTTTAATCAGCAAGATGAGTTTGTTAGTAAGAAAATCTACCAACTCTCGGACTGCAGTCGTTTAATAAATATCGTAAGTTCCCATGGGTAAGAAATCGACCGACAAATTGAATGCATTCTCGCAAAAAAGCACGAAATATGTACGCTCAAGAACCACCTTTTTCAGGTAAACCAAATAGGTTTGAACAAGGTTTCTGCACAATCAACGAAGCTCAACATTTTCTGGAATCGAATAAGTAAGCGTGGTTTGAATACTTGATCAGTATGCAGATTTGACGCGAAAACACGAGCAAGGCTCTGCTTATATCCCTTATATATACTGGGTACTGAATTATCTACTGAATTAAAATTTCTCATAAGAGACGACGAATCGTTTAACGTTCTCAAATCTACCATTAACAAAAATGACTCTTGTCAGAATTCTACACTCTCCTATTTTCTCTGCCAAATTAGATAGGCTCAAATTACTTGCAATGTACTGACACGGCGGCTATATTACCTGATATCAGCGGATGAAAACCCTTCCTCGGAGACTCGGTAGCACCGATTTTGGGACTCTGTTCGCCCCACCGCACTGGCTGTGCTCGGCCGCACACGTACTCAGCACCAGGATCCTTTTGACGAAGATAACGCCGCCAACAGTAACCTGCTGACGGAGATAAACAGGCTGCGCGGAACCTACCTCTACCGTCCAAATGATGCGCAAAAAGCGGTCTTCTATCAATGTTGCCGACTTGCGCGGCAACGGTTGCAAGAAATGTTAGGCCACTGGATGGCCGTAAGGTCGAGGAGATCCAGATATACGCCGACCACCATGACTCAAAGAACGTCTTCGCTGCAGACAAGGTGATGTACGGTTCCCCGACCAAAGGAAAGGCATCGCTCCTCTGTTCTGAGGGATCAACCCTTTTGACAAAGAAGTCGCAGATTCTAAAGCGCAGGGCCGAGCACTTGAGCAGCTTTCTCAGTCGGCCCTCCATAATCGCCGACACCGCCATCAACCGGTTCCCCCAAATGGAAATCAACGTCGACCAGGGTCTCTGCCCCCCGTTCCAGAAGCCAGTCGCTCCCGGCAACAACTCCTCAGCGGAAAAGCAGCAGTCTCCGACGCAATCTCATGCAAAATCTACAAACTCGGCGGCCTTCGTTTGATGGGCCAACTCACGACGCTATTTCAGGAGATGTGACACTGCGGATAAGCTCCTCGAAGCTTCACGATGGGATGATGGCGTGCGTCACGGACAACGGAGCAATCAACGGGGCATTCGCAGTGACCAATGGAGTTATGCAGGGCTGCGTCCCCGCGCCTGCACTCTTCCCTCTCATGTTCTCTTCCATGTTGATGGACGCCTACTGTGATGGGCATCCCGGGGCACGCATCGCCTACAGAACCAACGGGCATCTTCTCAACAGCAGGCGCATGCCGTCGCGGACGATGATATCCCCGACGACCGTTCATGATCTGCTCGTCGCCGACGACTGCGGGCTCAGCAGCGCGATCGAAGTGGACATGCAAAGGAGCATGGACCTCCTCACCGACGGGTGCGTCTACTTTGGTCTGAATATGAACACGGATAAAACAGTGGTCATGCACCAACTGTCACCCAAACCGCTACACTGCCCTTTTCTTCGAATTACTGTCGACAGTCACCAAATAAAAACCATAAATATTTATATTTATCTCGGAAGCACACTTTCCAACGGCCCCAGAATTGACGACAAAGTTGGCCACCAGATCTCCAAAGCCACCCAAGCCCACGGCAGTCTGAAGAACTTTGTGTGGAATCGTCACGGTCTCCAACTGAATGCCAAACTGATGTGCAGGGCCGTTTTCTTGACGACACTTGTCCACGGACAGAGACTTGGACCGCCTACTCCAACTATGCCAAGATACTCAAACCTATTCATCTCAACTGCCTTCGCAGAATACTAAAGCTGGGATGATAGGACAGGATCCAGACACGGAAGTGCTAGAACGGACCGCATATTTATCATCTACGCCGTACTGAGTCAACTGCAGGTAAGTTAGAACGAACATGTTATGAGTTAAATCTTCAGTTACAGGCAGTTACGAGGTGACCTGATACAAGCTTTCCGTATCATACACGGCCAGGACTGCAGCCTCGTACCGGGGGACTTCTTCGAGTTAACAACCACCACAAACCTACGAGGCCATCCATTCAAACTACGTGTAACAGGGGCCAGGCTGGACACACGAAAGTTCTTCTTTTCTAACAGAGAGCTAGAAGCTTGGAACGCCCTGCCTGTGTATGTCGTTATGTCTGCTTCCGTCGAGGTCTTTAAGAGGAAGCCGAAATTGTATAGCAGTGTCCACTAAATTACCACCCTACATCTGTAACCTTGACAACTCATTGTTATAATACTACTTCCTATATTTCAGTAACATCTGAAATTGAATTGCTTATTGTCTCCAACCCATCGCCTACGCTTACTGACATGCACATATGCAACTTTTGTCAGCAGGCGTATTATTTATTTCTCTGCACTCGAAACCACCGCTGTACAACTGCTCGTACCATTAACATTTGAAACAGTTTGCTTGTCTGTACAGAGCTGATGGTTTTCCGATCATTTGTTACATTTATTGTACCTTTTCCAGTTTTTGAGATTTTGCAGTTGCTAGTAAACAAATAGGGGGTTCAAAGGCGGAGACTTACATTTCCCTCAATAAAACTGAACTGAGGATGGAAGACACACGAGTACCGAAACGACTCTTCTATTGCGATGTCGCCACCAGTTATCGCTGACAGGGAGGACCGAAACTGCGCCACAAGAACACATAGAAGAATTCTCTTAAGCGAATGTGTATCGATCCAGAGACCTGGAAGGACCTCGCCAAGAACAGACCGGCTTGGAGAAGAAAAGTGAATACAGGTGCTGCCATCTACGAAGTAATTCGGATTGCGTCCACAAAAAGCAAACGGAAAGCTCACAAATCTCAAGTGCCTCGTCTCTTCAGTGTTAAACACCCGAGACTTCCAGCCTGCTCCCTCTGCCAAAGAGCATTTCGTGCACGATGCCATTTCGCTGAACACTGTCGGAATTAATGCGCCACCAGCCCGATAAGATCTACCTCTTCTCCCACTTTCGTTTCTACCACAAACCCGGCGCCGACCGCCAACCTCGTCACCGTCGGCCACACTTTCGCTACCCCGCCGCCACCATCGGTCTTGCCTCGACCACCGCCTCAACTACAGCGTCCAGTATCATCACCACCTCGTCTTCACGCACCCCCCTCCCCCCCACCAGAGGAACGGAGTCCGACGCCCCATCAATTTCAACCATCACCAACATCTGAACGTCCAAAGATGTCAATTCGGTTCATGCCTGTTCTCATTGCAACCGCACATTCACCTCACACATCGGCCTGGTCCATCACTTGCGAATCCACTGCACGGGGAATGGAGAACCTGTGCCTGTAGCACCAACCTTCACCCGCCAAATCCGCTTCAACTGCCCTCACGCACGGGTCCATTAGGATATAAGTGCATTCAGGAAAACCTGCCGTAGACAACCGCCGGCTGCCATCTCCTACGGAAGTGTGAAGTGTGCTTCTCGGCTCCTTCTCAATAGGGCCGCATGTGGTATCCAAATCTGAGATTATCACGGCATACCAGTCGCTGTGGCTGGGAAGGCTGTCAGCTGACGTCACAACTCATTCCACGCGGTCTGCCCAGTTGCGTGTGTTTGTGTGGAGTGACGAACTGGTAGGCTGAGAACCAGGCTGCCAAGGCTCCGTCTTAACCGGTCTGTGATACTCTCAAACACGTGCGTGCTTTATAGTTAGTGTCTCTTAGCCGACGACTGCTTGGCTACCCAGCCTTGAAGGGTGACGGCCCAGGCAAATACAGAGCCACGTGTCACCCGTCTGGGCCTAAAGGTCTGAGAGAGTCTGCAATGCCATGATTAGCAATCCAAGGCCCTCGCAGTCTGGTGTGCGCTGCCTGTTCTCTGCCGGTAGATGCGCTTGTGCTCCCGTTATGTATAGAGGTCGTGAGCATGGCTGCCCAGTCATCCTCCTCCTTTTGACTCGTCGCGGTGTTTTGTTGTTGTTTAAAAGACTGACCAATTGTTGTGTGGACCAGGGGGTGTGGAGTGGAGCGCCAAGGTGCGGGTTCGGCCGCGCCATCCACCTGCGACCTGCCCGGCTTCCGGCCTTCTTGAGTTTGTCTTGACACCGGGCTCAGGTGGGGGAGAGAGCGCGGTAGATATTGCGTAAGTCTACACTCAATATCAACTAATTCACGCGCAAGTCACCCTGCTTGCTTTACTTTGTCGTGGAGCCCACGGTGGACGTCGTCGGATGTGGCGGTCGAACTGTCCACTGTTTTTAATTAAAAGCCCCACATAATTACGTTGACGGACACCTATTTGACTGTGCAAACGAGAATCAGTGGAGCTAGTATTGAAATATTGAATGCCTTGGTATGACGGGTTTCAACTTGGAGGGGGAGGCGTTGCAAGTTACAGATCTATTACAAATTCCTGCTGTTAGCGGGAAATATCCGACGTCGTGCTACAAAATGATATAATAATTTCATGCAAAAATGCGGCCAGGCGATTATCGGGCAATTAGCCTATGCGTTGTCTAACAGTCTTCCAGTTCCAAGCAAACAGCCGACGCGGAATAATGAAGTTCACTGAAATTGATATAAGAGCAGGAAAATTTATTTTTGCTGAACGGCTTCGACGTTTCTGTAATGAACTGGAAAATTCCTGTGACATACCCCTATCTACATCATTCGACTCAAATTATTACAGTATTCTCTGGAAGAATACCTAATTCTATACACAGAGTTTGGATAAAGCCTAAGAGACGGAGAGCGAAATAACTCCCCAGACCTTGCTTCCAGTAAATAAAAGGGAGACATAGAGTAGTGAACTCGAAACCGCCATCTGACCTAGGTGACCATATTGCATTTACCTGCGTATGCTCTGTCCTACCGTTTCTCAACCGCGATCTGAGAGGTGCAGAAATATTTGGAAAGACGATTTGGACGCAGTAATACGCGCTGCTTCGCAGAAAATCTGGTAAGTTAATAAGGACGGTGACGAAGATTTCTGGCAGTGTTTCAGGGGGTTCTATAAGGTTTAGTTAATGCTTATTTTCCCAAGAAAACAATAAGACCGTGCGCTCGAAATGCATGGGACAATGAAACGGCAAAGGGAGCAAAAAGAATAAAATGACTTTGGTAAAGCTACTTGCAGCTTTAAGATCCCAGATAATTTGCCAAATATAAAAATCAGCATTTTAACTGCCACAAGCAAATACGAACTCTTAGAAACTTATCTAAGCACCGACTGACGGCAGAAACCAGTACATGTTCCAAGAAGTTTTGTATGTACATCCGAAGTAGAAGGTAGCCCAGGGACAAGATTGTGGATCCAAAGGATGGCATAGGAAACAACTTATCTGATGGTCGACAAAGAGTACTTTTATTCCAGTTGTTCGATCGATTTTTATGGTGTTGTCATCCGAAGACAAACCGGGTTTGAAATGAACCAAGGTGTGACATAGAGAATGTCAATTTTACATTCTCGTCTTATTTACTACTAACGGTTTAATGGTAACCAAACTTCAGAATCGTACTTTTGCTTCCGCATACATGCCAATTCTCGTTGTACTTTCATTGTTCTTTGTTGTCGCTCGCTTCTAAACCGACCACCACACGTTGGTGTCATCCTTGTGAATGCCGCCTACTCACCTCGAATGTATGTGCACTCCTTAATTTAGGCCTCTCATTGTTGACTTTGTCGTGCTCTGCTGATCTTAATTTTTATTACTATAGAACCCCAAAGAATATCCGAGTTATCCCGACTGTCGTCTAACAAAGCCTTTGACCTCGGATGCGTCTATTCCGGTGGATAAACTAGCACCGAATCAAGAAAATCCAGAGAATATTAACACAAGGTACTACCGTCATCGAAATCATTGCCTTTTCTGTCGAAGAAGTAAGACAAATCACGTCAGACAAGTCCCTTGTACCCGATGGGATTCCTGAGCTGGCACGTAAGAAATTATCCACAGGGATATCAGTGCCTCTTTCGTCTCTTTTCGAACTGCCAACGAGAACAGAAAGCTTGCCTTTGCAGTGGACGACCGCCAACGCATTTCCCTTATATAAGGATGG